CCCCCTCTCCGATGGGTGTTTGTAAAGGTCACACGGCCCGAGAGGGAGGCGCTGTCCCTGCTCGGCCAGCACCAACTCGTACGGCGGCGCCGCCTCCAGCGGGAAGGAGATGGAGGCGATGTGCTGGTGCTCCCGTAGTCCCAGCGGGTAGTGGGAGGGGGAGAACCAGGCAGCACCGGCCGAGGCCTCTCCGTAGTACGGAGAGGGATCCTGACCGGTGTAGTCCGGCTGCTCCTCCTGCTCCGCCCCTCTCTGACAGGGGTCCAATAGGGAGTAAGGAGGCGGGTCATCTGAAGGTATGTAGATCTGAGGCGAACCTGGGCCAACACACTCATCGTACCTATGGAGATAAAAACAGAACAAGCAAACGGTCAGTACTGTGGTGGAACCCAAATGTGTATTTATTTTAGCTTTTGAAAGGCCGAATGCCAACAAATATGGATTAAAGATGAATATTTTGTTGGATTAAAAACATTTTAGAAATTATTCATCTTTTTTTTTTTCAATAAATGTTGACTAGAACATTGCTATTTAATAGATTTTTTTTTACTGTTTATATATTTGAAATAAAATGCTTTTCTAATGTGTTTTCACATCACTTAGCTTAAAGCTTTTATTATTTCAGAGCTCCGTCAGATGCTGAGCCACGCCGCCGGCCCCGACATTGTCGATCTACATTAACCACATTAACCACAGTTAGACAATAAATGATCGCCCAACTCTACGGCGTGTATACACACTTAAAGGGAGAAATCAGTTGCAATTCTTAAGGAGCTTTGTGGTTAGAAACATCCAAATGAGATCAGCTTCAACACCTGACACAACGAAGCCTTTTCCTCCAAAGCAACGATAGCTGACGCTCGTGGGTGTCGAAGCACCAAATGATACAGAAGCTAAGCTTATATAATAAAACTGGATCATAGCATAACAACAATAGTATCATACACCTATCCAGGACTCCTATGTTTGCATTTAGGGAAATTGAGAATGTCATTAAAAGAAACCTTTAAAATGTGAGTTTTACAGTGGGGGGATGTTCTAGTCCTGGATCCAGTTTCTCATCCCAGTTTGCAGCTCTTTCATGTTCTGAATAGAACCCCATTGCTCCTGCTCATAAAGTATACAACTGTGTGTACACTACTTGCTAACTCTATTATACATTATGTGCTGATCTAGCACATAATGTCCACGCTCCACACTGACAGGGACACAAAAAGAAAGAGAAACGTTTTATGTAACTAAAACAACATATGAAAATAAATATCCAATGCCTTTCTTGCTTTCATGCCCACTCCCTTGCACACATTCATATTTGTGATATATTGGACCCCATAAGCACCCACACAAACAAAAATCAACTGTGCTGGTATCTTCCACAAATGCGGCGCTGCACATACTGTTGTATGTTTATTATTAAATGTGTGCAGAGAATATCCCTGTTACAGAGTTCACTTGACCTTTGGCTTGTCCCTGCATGTGCCCCTCAGGAGGTTCCTCTCTTCATGTTTGAGAGGTCAGAGGTTCAGGTCCAGTTACAGAGCAGCATGCCAGGAGCGGGTGAGAAGTCAGTGACACCACAGAAGGCCGAACGGGTCTTTGGTTTCGAAAACTGGTTTCTCTGTTGACCACAGTACACTGCACTGCTGTGCCTACTGTATACACAGTTTTGTGAAACAGCAAACTTCGGGACTTTGACATATAAATGAGTGTTCGTGACACTCAATTTTCCTGCCAAATGAATTCACACAGTGCTGTTCATCACATGGGAAAGCTCTCTGTATTTAGCAGTAGACCGGAGTTGTGTCTGGTGTCCATGTCGACTTTCCCATGGTGGCATTCTGGTGATGTGTTTTACGTCAACCAGCCAGAGCTAGAGGGGCCACCAAGGGGCGAGAGACGATTGTGACGGAGCGGAACAGGAGTACGGCCGAAAGAATCTTCTGGAGTGGATGCTCCAGATAAAAGAGAAACTCAAGAGGAAGGATTGAAGTTTTTAAAAAAAGACAGCGATGGACTACGAGGACAAACACTCCTGGGGACGGGGAGTAATGCGGCGAGCTCACCTGCAGGCATACAACAGTGTTTGTGTAGTTACTCCCACCGCCAGAGGGGGGAGACAAAAAGTCCAGCTTTCAGGAAACTTCTTCGAAAATGCATGCTCAACATTTAGAAAAAAATCAAATGTTTGTCTGGCTTTGTAGTATTTTAAAATCTCTGGTTCATGACTGTCATGGTGGACCATTTTCTAGTGTTTTTTTGATATTTGCTGTGGTCGATAACTTCTTGTAGTGATTTGGGACTTCAATGTGGACGGGGAACGTTTTCAAACAGCATTTGCAACATGCAACATGCCCCCTCACGCGGGCTACTGTGCACAAATGAGACCGCATGGTCAAGATCATTTTTACCCATTCATTTGACATTGTAACTATTGCTTCTTCTTCCCGATCCAAGGCCACATTTCCCATAAACTCTGCTCCTCGTCACCCCAGCAGCTCTGTCAATCCTGCAAAATCTGATGCAGCTGCACACAATGTAAGACTCTTCATGGTTTGTTTTTTTAGAAGTTGTTTGGATGTTAAACTGCTCGATGTTTCACCATCGAGTATAAACATGCAAGATTTGATAAAGGCTGCGGCCTCCTTCTTGCTGTTTTGACAAAGTGCCAAAAAACGCTGCCCCGATGAACTCCACCAGCAGCTTTCTACCAACATCAGCAGCCAGAGAGAAGAGGAACAATGGAATATAGAAAGTAGAAAAAAAACTAAATAGAATTATGGTGTGTGTGTGGATGTAATGGTAGCTGATGATGGGGGCACAGGAAGCAGTAAATCAGTATAACTCAATCAGTGCAGTGGTTAATTATATCAGGCTGGTACCACCAAAGTGCGCGTTATACTGTGTCCTCTTTCCTTCTTTTTGCCCTTTCTGTCTCCTTCAACACACCTTTGTGTGTGTGTGTGTGTGTGTGTGTGTGTGTGTGTGTGTGTGTGCCACTTGCCAGCAGCGTTGGAGACTTTTGAGTGTGTTTCTGTGTGTTTTGTGTGACAGAAAGAAGCTATTTTAGACTGGAAGTGAGGATCAGGCTCGGTCAGAAAAAAAGAATGTCCACTGCTCGTCATCACACACTTATCAAATTCAAATTTGCTTTATTGGCATGAAAGTTTAAAAAACAGTATTGCCAAAGCATCAAAAAAATTAGTCATAAGTCATTCTGTTTCTGTAGTGTACAAGAGATTATATATTGTATAGTTATTTATTATTTTATGTTACTTTTTTAAGTCACTGAATGGGAGAGATTCTGGAAAAAAACTATGTTAATCTCTCTTATCTCTCTCTCTCTCTCACACACTCACACGTATACGTATATACATATACATCGCCTACCCTTTTTCCATCAGAATATGTAGGTTTAAATCAGGGACCAAGTGACCTTGTCTTGCTTTTGTTGGGACTCACTGTTGAGTTTGCTTTGTCTGTCAGCTCACTTTGTAAACTCTATTTATAAAGCACTTTTAAAATCAAAGTTAATATTTTTTGCACATGTACACCCTTACACTTGTGCACACAACAAACGATTGAGGGTATCTACAGTTTTTCAAACATATATTTATTATTTTCTGGGAAAACTGACCTTGAACATTTGTATGAATATCAGGCATGTTGAGTTGAAAATTGGAGACTGTGTGTGTGTGTGCGTGTGCGTGTGTGCATGTGCGTGTGTGTGTGTGCTGGGTGTTTCAGAGGTGTTGTAACACACTGAGAATCTCTGTGTCTTTGGTCTCTCAGGAGTTACAGGCTCCTCTGTTCCCCTGAGGCCTCCTGCTGCCTGTGTGTTTCTGCAGAAACCTCATAATGAGTGTGTTGTTTTACACGTATGTGTGCTCTGCTAACACGTGTGTGTGTGTGTGTGTGTGTGTGTGAGAGTGTGTTAGCTAGGTGTGGCTGAGTGATAACAATTTTTCTCCTCTGAGACACGGGCAGGGAGTTGCACGACTGCTTGTGTTTATCCATCTGTCTGTGTTCCTGTGTGCTGCCTGTTTCTGTTCGAGATCATGTAAAGCGACACTTAAAACAACATTTGTTAATTAGTTAGTCAGTTAAGGATGTTATTGCTCAGTGATGGGGTAAAAAATGATAAGTTCTATGCAGGCAGTGGCGTTCAGCAGGGCCTTTTTTTGTCCAGACACAAGGCCATCATGAAATGTAAATAGTTGGAAGTAAAAGTTGCCTCGGAACATAATCAAGTAGACATTTGTCTGTTTGGGTGAAACCACAAAAACGTACGATAGAGAAAGACGTCTAAGTCAGATGGGTCATGAGAAAGGGAGGACCTCTGGCATGTTTTCATGCTTTGGTTGTGACGCTCTACAGAGCTGGACACCGGACGACTTCAGCTACAGCATAGAGCATATGGTCTGTGTGTGTGTGTGTGTGTGTGTGTAAAGCTGGCATGTCCCTCCTCGGTACCACTGTGAGGTACTTGTGGAGTTGGAGAACCATATAGATGCTGCAGTCACAGGTGTGTGTGTGTGTGTGTGTGTGTGTGTGATATGATTTTTGGGCATAATGCAGCTCATAAGATGAAGCCTACAGATGACAGTTAAGAGATCATGTTTCATCAGATCACAATAGACAACGTATCTTTAGAGAACGGTTCGTATGATACCTTACGAAAAAAGTAAATCCAAATTTTTCGTGTGTTTTCTTTTAATACGGAAGTTCAGCAAATCCTGTCAAGTTCCAGTTGTCACATGATACAGTCTTTTCAAAATAAACTTGCTTCTTCACGGGACACTACTTAGTTAGGTTTAGGAGAAATTTGTGAAATATTTAAAAGTTCAGGCAACAAAACTACCTGCAACATATCCTCATATAATGGTTTGTATGACCCCGAATGAAAAGTTATTTTTTTGTGCATTTTCCATCCATCCACAGTCGCGATCTGCCTGCCTGTGCAAGCACCTGCAGAGTTTGGGTTTCATAAGTATAGATATGAACGCTGTTTGAGAACAGCCTGCATTAGGCCATGTGTCTCCTGTTACTGTATTCCTGTACTGTTCATTTTTTGTCTTTACATGACATGTCTGTGGCTAAGATTAGTCATCCTGCAAGATGACTGGACAACATGGTACATTTGTTCCTGAGCTTCCACCACTGCTCTCACCTCCTCTTTGGTCCTTTCAAAGTCCTCATCCTTGCTGTCTGATGTTATCATTTCTCAGCTTTCACTGTTCTCTTTTTAATGACTGTGAGACATTCCATAGTGGGTGTTTCTCAAAGTCAAGGATGCTTCCTTGGTAAGACGGGTTCTCTCCAGTCGGGCAAGTCTCCCTCCAATCACTCAGAGAGCGCACATTGGAACAGTCGAGCAAGTGTGTCGGTGTGAGGAAGAAACCCGAGGTAAGGCGGTCGTTTAAGTCATTTGATTTTTGTGAGTAATGTGGCAAACTGAAAAACACTAAATCCAAGTTTTGCCTTTTTTATTTTGCCCAGAATTAATGCTGCTTTTGTGAGAAATTTAGGTTTTGAAGCTCCTAATTATTGATATTATATGTTGCAGTGTATTTACTTGTAGGAGTTTGAACCAAGTAGTGTGTTTGAGTGTCTGTGTGATCAGGTTTGAGGAATGTGCTGGAGCGGGGGTTGTGTGAAAGTGGCAGGGTGAGGCGATTTCTCCCTGTGTCCAAAAGTTATGGCCATAACACTTCACATTATCATAATTTTTGGATATTGACAAGAATCTAACCAGAATTTTGGTGGTGAAAAAAACACCAGCAGTCAACTCACATCTTTGTAATATAACAGTTTACTTCAACTTACTCCCCGATATTATCATGCAACACAAATCAGAATGCCAGGAGAGTGTGTGTGTGAGCCAAAGCTCGCCCGGCTTCTCTCTGAGAGGAAGCAGAAGCTTTCAGTCTCCACAGGTGAGCAGCTGATCCATGAGCACAAGTTTTTCTGGAAGACAAAGTGTGTGTGTGTGTGTGTGTGTGTGTGTGTGTGTGTGTGTTTGTGTCGGAAGCGTAACGTTCACTGTCTCAGTAGGTGAGCTGTTGATCTGAGTTCTCTGAGTTTTCCTCAACCATCTGTGGCCTAAAACACACACACACACACACACACACACACACACACACACCCTGCAGGATCATTACATGACTGCAACTACCTGCTTGTTGACAGGGTACCAAAAAATGACTTGTCAGCATTATAGTAAACAAAATCTGCGTTGTGTATGTACGTATGCATGTGTGTCTGTTTGGATGTGCGTGCGTGTGTGTGTGCGTGTGTGTGTTGGCTGGCGTCCCATCGTCTGGGCCAGAGAGTCCGGCTCTCACACAGGCCGTCCAGAACGCTCTGGTTCTCTGCCAGAGCGCTGACGTAGCTAGCTAGCTCCCCTCTTCCTCTCCTTTTCCTTTCCATTTACCGTTACTCTCATGTTCCTACCGCTCGAGTTGAAGTGAGGACAAACACCGTGTTGAGGTTTCTGCCCCTACCGCTAATTAGCAGCTTCGGTATATCTCGTAAACATCATGAATGGATTCATCACACGTCTTGCGGGAGCTGTAATAGTGCATGGGAACGTTTTCTCGGCCCGCACAGGACTCTGCAGCATCGCAGCAAACATAAAGCCTGCTGCTGACCAGGTGTAATCACCCCACCGATGATGCATCTTTCAGCATAAAGCACTTTGTCTGTGTTACGCACCAAGAACATGAGCGTCGGTTTAGTCCCCAGATCACAACCCCAGCACAGAGCTTCAGCCTCAGGTTCGACATGATGAATGTGAATGTGCAACGCTATTAAATCAGCAATAATCAATATCCACCTATAAGAGTATCATGTATGGAGGCTCGGATGATCCTGAAACTGAGCAACTGCAGTGAGAAATTATGGTTCTGTGATCAGAATCGGTAATAAACTTAAACGCCATATTTCCTTCTTGTTTTCTACATGATTTCCCACTAGTTCTGGTTTGACTGGCTCTTGTTGCACCTTCTTCTCTACACCATAAAGCAGGGTATGATTTAGGGCGGGGCTGCTTTGTGGTTGACATCTCTCTATCAGAGCTGTATGCGCGTATCTACGTCACTCATCCAGAGTCCAAAGATGGTCACTTTTTCTGGTTGAAAAAACCAAGATGAAAACAGCCGAAATGCCGAACTTCAAAACGGCAGTCCACAAACCAATGGGTGACGTCACGATGACTATGTCCATTTCTTTTAGTCTATGATTGGCACCATCAACTGTCTGTTTCTATGTCGTACGTTGATGGAAACACACTTCGCATCACTTCACATTTTCTGTTGCTGATTTTCAGGTAATTCTGTATTTTTTTGGTTCTAGTTTGATTGGAAACCAAACCAAAAGATGAACACGCAGTAAGAAACTTCAGAGCTGAATATCAAGGTCACGCTTTGTAAAAACATCAACTGATTTAACTTTCACATTGTGGCTCAGTGTCAGATGTATTCATCAACTATAGCACAGTGTTTTGTTTCCAATTTTGCTGTTGAACTAAATTTGCACCTTTGACTTGCTTCATCTCAATAAATGAGGCTATCACGCTGAACACCGTGCAGGTATCATAGTATTTAGATCTGTAATACCTAACTGACAGAAACATGAATTCTCAGAAACTTAATTGAAATAATCAATAGTATTATTATCATTTAATTATCCCCCCTCCCCCCATATTGATGCTGAAAGTTGTTAAGTTTGAAATGTGGCAGCTGGTGACCGCGGAGCTCGGAAAGTCAGATGACTGTCTAAGTCAGTAATGAACTCTTTTAATGAACAAAAAGAAAAGATGCTATCCAACCGTAGATCGATTCATTTGGGTTAAGTGAGTCAATGTTTCTACAGCAGAGCCAGTAGGAGAATGAAGCGCGCACGCGCACACGCACACACACACACACACACACACACTGCAGGGGAGGGATGTATGTGAATTATTAAAGTTGCCAATTAGACCAGCTGACATTTAGATCAAAAACACCATGACATTGGCCTTTAGCAAGCTCTTTCTTTCTCTCATTCTCTCTCACACACACAAACACACACACACACACACACCCACACACACACACACACAGAGTGCACAAGCGCTCATTGCTGCACCCTCACAAAGGGCACCAAAGGTAGCAGTGCTCTCTAATAAATGAATTACCACTGAAGAAGGGTCAAGCCAAGTGGACAGAGAGCATTGGGGGACACGTCTGAATGGTCAGTTATGTTTTAGATTTGACATTTGACATAATTGGCGAAAGGAGGAGTGTTTTTAAACAAACTGTAGCTATTGATGGATGAGGACAGGCTTGAGATTTTAATTATTTTTCTGAATATCTTAGCTCACCGAGACTTGTCCAAAACCAACACTGTCCGTCTGTAAACAGAAAATACCCACTAGGAAACAGAAGTGCATCCAGACTCCACCATTGTTTTTCTCACGTGGTTAACATTGTGAAACTATTGCGGTTTGCGTAGAGAAACTAGTGTGAAACTGTTGTGGTCTTAAAAATGACGTAGATGGGTTCACATTAGAGTTACGTCTCACGCAGATGATGATGTAATCCTTGTGTGTCGGTATCAAGACGCAGAGGGCCACATGCCCAAGTGATGGTATTTTGGCACCCTGGGGAGAGAGCACAGGCTGGAGTACCTTACCGTTACCATCGATTCACACAAGATCTTACCGTGGCGGTGAGTCGGGGTACAGGTTGTTGACTTGTGACAGAGTCTCTCTGTATGAATCAAAGTCTAAACCAGGAGGAAAGTCTTCTAAGCAGGTAGATCTCAGTTCTCCTACTGAGCCTCCATAGGAAAAACCATCCAGACCTGCAGAGACATGAAGGAAAAGACACATTTGAATTGAGAGTTTTATTTTTTTTTATCTTGTGCACATATCTCATGTACATATGATATTTGTATACAAAGAGGCGACAACATATTAGAATAATTTCAAAGGACAATTAAAAGGATCTGGCAGCAGCTATTGTTTAATTGTTGCTGAGTGCCTTTGAAGGCTTTTGATTCTCTGGAGAAACTGAAAACCTGCTGAAGATTTTTGGAAGCAAGCTACGTGTGAAGATGTGTGTAGGTGTTTCCAGACCAACATGAGCATGAAAAGTGTGTAGGGGTATTTCAGCAGTTATGTGAGAAAGATCCTGAATAAATGGGCCATAGTGTTACATGCTACAACACAGTGGACCTGTTTCTATTTCCATGTTCTGATGATTGTAATGTTGTCAGTCTGTGGTTCAGGTGTGGACTTTATTAAGTATGTAATATTAACAGCTACAGTAAAACCTGAGATGAACCGAATGCTTCATCGTGTTCAGTTAGTCGCGGACTGACCGTAGCTCGCTCGGAGGTGCGGGTTTCGGAGTCGACTGTCTTTGCGCAGGCTGCCGACGATGATGGTGATGCAGGAGAGGAAGAGGACCAGACCTATAACGATCCCCGCCACCACCAGCGGAGAGACCAGGAGAGACACCTCCCCTCCCGACTCCCTCTCACCCCGGCAGTCCGGGTACTCCCCATGGCTCTGGTTGGAGCTCACTGCAGAGAGATGGAGAGAGAGATGGAGGAGGGTACATCTATGGTCATAAGTCCAATATTGACCGCTTTGAGCTCCGTTTTGGTCTCCCCCAAACCCTGAGGGAAATCTCTGTAGTTGCTGCAAAGCCGGTTATTCTTACAACTTACAAGACGAGGGTAAAGCAAGAGCACCTTGACGGCTTTTTCTGTGTAACTTGGTCCACTTTGATGTCTACTTTGAAGCCTGAGGCGTCTTTTTGTAATTTTGTAAAACGCCTCACATTTTACACTCTGCATGCCTCACATTTTAGCAGGACCGTCCGAGATGAAAAAGGAGAGTGGAAAAAGCACCCAACTTCAAAAAGTGTTTTCTCTCATTGTGCTGACTTTTGCTGGATGCCCGGAGCTGTATGACTTCACCAACCGTAGTTACCACGATCTGACCGGGAAACAGTCGGCCTGGAGAAGGATTAGTTTGGTTCTTAAGATTTTGGTTACATTCATTTAAACTGTGCCATTAACTTTTAGGTAGCGTACAGTTCATAGTTTGTGTTAAAGTAACTTAGCACTCATTCCGTGGTTGGTAAAAAAAAAAAATGTCTTCAAAAAAGACAGAAAACTGCAAAATCTGTCCAGTCCCAACCATAAGTAATGCTACAGGTGCACCGTGTCGTGTAGTTCCCAATCTAAGATGAGGAAATATAATATAATATAATATACAGTATATAAATACACAGTGACCAGTAATTGCAATATGTACATTTTCTCTTTTAAGGTAATATACAAAATAAATCTTAGCAATAATAAATCACCTTACACTTTAATCTATCACACTATGTTCACCTGCTAGTCACTGATTCTGTCTGTTAATTAACACGTATATTTTTGCTGGAATTAATCAATTAGTGCGCTGACATTTACGGAGGACATTAAGTGACGTATCCATAAATAAACAAATGAAACTTCAAACGTAACAAATGAACCATCTGTGCGTCTTTCCGTCCTTCCTTATGGCAGCGGTGCACTAGGGGGTCGTGTTGCATAACGGCTGACTTGCACTGCACCCGTCTCACCCACTCCGTCTTCTCTCTGCTTCTCTTTCCAGCTCTCGTCCCCTGAGGACTTATTCATTTCAGTGTGTGTGACAGATAATTAGAGCTAAAGTCAACACACGCACACACACGGTCTCTAAGTCATCATCATTAGATTACAGAACGATCCTGTTCCTCTCCATTTCTATTTAATGTCTCATCCGTCTGTTTGCTCTGCCTGTCTGCCTGTCTCACTGCCATTCGCTATCGTCTGTCTTCATTCACATCACAGCTGAGAGAGGAGAACGCTCTAGTGTGCCTTCTTGCTTTTAAAGTGTCGGGATGCTGTTCTTCGTGCCCTCTGTATTGTATGCGACACAAACCTGACGTTTCCTCGTAGATACTAAGAGCACAGAGCTGCGTGGAGTCGCATATTTCAATTTCAGACCTCAGGTCATGTGATACTCAAAGCAGGAAGTTAATTCTGCAGTCAATTTTTTTTAAAGCAGTTCGGCTAAGGAAGTGTTTGTCAATGTAACCATGATGATAAAGGTCTCCTTACCTGAACTGTTCATTGTACCTCAACCTTCACCAAATACCCTGCACTGCCATCCTCCAGATGCCCTCAGTCTTTTCCACCTGTCCAAGTCACCTGACGCTCTCATTTACCTGCTCACCTGTTTCCACTTTCCCTCATCAGTCCAGCTGGATATAACCGGCCTGGTTCCACTCATTCCTGCTGTATTGTGCTTTTGTCTGCATGCGAGTCCTCCTCCCTTTTATGGGATACACCGGCCGAGTCAATAGTTCACATCAGGAAACACTTTTTTCTGGAGGCCCTGGATTGTCGTATTTTGGCTAAATATGTTTATTAACATCCTGTAAGATATTAGTGTGAGGAGTTTGTGTGCAGTGCAGAGTGGATATCATCTTTGTGTTTCATACATCTACAACTCGTCTTCCTGAAATGTACAATACATCCACCACACTTAAGTATTTTGCACATTGAATGAACAGTTACGTTGCATTCTCGTGAGCGTGATGTCTCAGGAACACCTGGAGGGAACATCTTCAGATTTGGCACAAACTTGGAATGAAGGATGAAGTGATTTCACTTTGGACAGACGAGACCGGTCTCTTCATTTACAATCGTGAATGTAGCTCTCAAATGCAGATCGGAGTCCTTTCTATCTACTGTTCTCTAATACTGTTAATCCAGAAATCTCTTTTGGAATATCTCTCACTGTTGACATGCTGGGTGTGAAAGCTTGACAGGCCTAGCAAAAGTAACGAAGGGGGGTCAATTACGCATCTCAAAACCTGTAATTTCTGACACTGACATTGCATCCTTTGTGCTGCGAAGCGTGTTTTCTGCCATCATCAGTGCTCTGACTATAAAGCAGGAGAAACAATCAAATGACTCCCAGTATCGTTTTCATTTCAGTCTCTTAGTGCCGCTCTTATTGCTCATTTCTCATCTCTTTCCTCCCTTGAACGTCTGCGTCCGTAATGCTGTTGTCTGCAGTAATTTGGTTTCACACAGATTCCCGAGAAGAGGAAAATGTTCTCTCACCCCAAACGATTCCCAGCAGCCCTCTCTGCTCTCTCGGTCTCGTCTCTCACACACTTCTTTGTCTCCTCTTTCTCCCTCTTCTAACGTGATTTTCTCTTCATTTTCGCTTCTCACCTCGTCCTCATAAACTCCATTTTCTTTTGTTCTCTCCAGAGAGAACTCAGAAGGAAATCTATATTTATATAGATTTAAATTCACATAAACCTCGCTCCCTTTGTAACACACACACACACACACACACACACACACACACACACACACTAGCAGCAGACAAACTCTCATAATAATCTTGGTAGGTCTGCTCATCATGCTAGCGGCTCTAGGGAAGGCAATGTCAGTCTGAGTGTTGATCCACTTTGGTCCAGACTGAAATATCTCTGCGACTGTCAGATGGATCACCATGAAATGTTGTACAGTCATGTTCCCCAGAGGATGGATCCTTGTGACTTTGAAGACCCTCTAACTTTTCTTCTTGCGCCACCATGAGGTTCATATATCAATGTATACAGTATATATTTTTATAAAGTTTCTTTGAGGAACTTTTAAATGATCCTGAACCAGTCTCAGTTTAATCCTGATCCTCTATATGACCTACATCAGTAAACGAGACCGCGAGAAGATATTTCTACAGAGTTATTCTTAATGCTCATCATCGGAGCCACCGGGTCGGATTCTGGTGAAACCAGATGAAATCATGCAGGTTCACCAGAAACTCCTTCAGCTCAGACTCCAGCAGAGACCGGTCCACCGCGGACAGACCCAGATCCTCCAGCAGAGACCGGTCCACCGTGGACAGACCCGGATCCTCCAGCAGAGACCGGTCCACCGTGGACAGACCCAGATCCTCCAGCAGAGACCGGTCCACCGTGGACAGACACAGATCTGGCTTTACTGCAGCCTTTGTCCACAGGGACCAACACACAGTGAAAGTTCCTTGTTGAAACTTTAAGTAAATTAAGTATTTCGAATTGAAAATGAATTAATTTTCAGCCAGTCACAATGCAATGCAGGAATTCAACGTATCCTTAATTTCGTATGATATCAAAACGTTATTATCTTCCATCCAGTGTCAAGCAACACAAGTCCTACTTGGTTAGGTTTAGGAGAAGATTGTGCTTTGGGTTAATAAAACTATGCAAGCGGCATTAGTGAAGCTTGGAAATTATGTAACAAACAAATCCACGTTGACTTCTGGTCTCACACGGGACACAGACTGTGGTCTCCTGGGTGAAAGTCCTGTGATTTTAGACCCACCTGTCCTGGTACACAATTATGCTGATAAACAAATTGATTATGTGAGTAACATATGATTTAATGTGCATTCCTTTCTCATGATACTTTCTTTGTACCACACCATATTTACTAACTTCTCATCCCCAGAGAAGAGGCTTCCTCTGTCCTGTAAGCCCACCGGACGAAACTGGTGAGGAAATGTCTTTTTTTCTCTCTCTCCACTTTAGTGTGATTTAAGACAGAGGAGGGAGATTTTAAGAAACACAAACAGTGGAGTGATGGTCGAGAGGGGAGGCAGCCACTCTATACGATTCGGGGCAGAGCGAGGAAGAAGGGAGACAGAGCAAGGGAAAAGATTGTTATAAATGGTGATAGTGTTATATTTCAAACCCCTGAGGGTACGGGACCCAGCTACAGAGAAAGGGGAGAAATCTGGTTTGTGTGTGTGTGTGTGTGTGTGTATTATGAGTCGAGTGAGAGTGTAAAAATATTAGACCTACACGCCCAACCCATGAAATACATCAATAAATGAACAGAAGGAAGCAGGTTAACAAGAAAGCTATAAATCTTGAGGCATCCAACATTAGTAAGTCATAAATATTCTGTGCACTGTGGTGTCACAGGTGCACGACATTTTATTATGTAACTGACAAACCCGACGATGTGTCTGACAGAACGACACCTTCAGTGTGAAGCTGGGAGAGATGCGACCATCTTAGGTTTGTTTTTCTTTTTTCAACCCAATTTCAAGGGAAGGAGAATAAATGGCAAGATCATTTCTACCTGTCATTAATACACATTTAGGCAACACAACCACTTAGTTAGGTTTAGGAACAATATGATTGGGCTTGTTAACATTGCTGTCAGTACAGACTACATGGTGTACAAATGACATGCAAAAAGCAAGAACGGAGTTCTTATTGCTTTCTGCATTGACTACTTGCCAGGGATTCAGCGTCGTGCTCAGAAGCACTTCAGCAGGGCTCTTGCTACACCACTCTGTGTGTGAGAGAGTGCTATATGTTCATATATAATGAAGCAGCAGCAGTGGTAACTCACTTTGACAGCTTGTCACTAATGCTTACTGTTCAACATGCGCCCACCTCATACACTGTATACCGTAGTGTGCTACAAAAAGCTAGTATGTAACCCAGACGTTGACCCGAGGCTCATTTAGAGGTCAT